TTTTTTTTTTTTTTTTATAAAATTAGTCCTAAGTACCATTGTCTATAGTCAAATTTTAATATTGATAAACTATAAGTTTAAATTTTAAATTAGGCACAACTACATTTTCAAAAAATTKTCCATTAAATCCTAAGTTTGTCATAGTCAAGTATAATTGTATAATTGTTGAGCTATAATTTTTACCAACWAAAAGCTAATAAACAAAAAATAACGTTTGTATTTGATGTTTAAARTTTAAGCAATTATTATTTAAGTAAAAATCGGAGGAGCATACTCAGTGAAACACATTGAATAATATTTTAAATGCAAATAATTCAAATGATTTATTTTTATATCTCTTAGCAATCCAAATATTTTATTTTTTGTATATATTATTTAAGATTAGGAATATTTAAAATTGTATAATCCAGAAAATAATTTAAATTTTATACAAATCACAAGGTAAGAAAAATTGTTTTCATGTTTACATGCTCGATTTAAAAAGATTTTATTTAAAGTATTTATGATTCTGTTCTCGAAACTAATTCTTTATTTTACATGCTTAAAAAGAACTATAAATAGGTTATATAATTAATTAAACCAATTCAATTAGTATAATGTATCAGTAGAAAGTGGGACAGTAAAATCTTGAAGACAATCAGTCTTWTAAATACACATTCAAGGTAGGTAGTAATCATCTAATTTAAAATACAACATAAATCCAACTTAACTTTTTACTATAAATTTAAATTATTTATTTATTAATTTTATTAATAAATTAATAATTAATATAATTTTCTGATAAAAACACTTCTATCTGATATAAAACTCAATACTTACTTTTTAATAAATAAAATAATAATTTCATAAATTATTGCTTTTAAGTTTAAATCTTAACTGCGGTCATAGGGGTATCTAGTGTGGGGATTTGGGGGGAGGCTTAGCCCTAATTAGTCCCCCTAGAATTATTTGTATTATTTTTGCTTAGTACCGTTATTTTAATTTAGTTTATAGTGTTGTTTCTTTATTATTATTATTTTCAGACCCCCTCCACCCAATATATATTTTGATCACCCTACGCCTATGAGTAAGGTATGAGTGTAATATTCTAATAGGTCAAAGTTGTTTTTTTTTTTAAGGAAATTACGACAAAACTAATATGGGTTGATACACGTCTAGTCTACTGGTTTTTTAATAATATTATCATGTGAAGATCAGCATGTTATCTTTGTCCCCGCCACCCCTTATGTAAGGCAACGACAATATTTTGGTACAACCAACATAAAAAATACTTTTTTCCCCGAACAAAACTACACTTTTATGTAAAGTAACTGTCTTAATATGTTCGTTTTAGCGGCAAGTACCTACATAATACAATAATATAACAGAGATTAAAATTATATAAGCCGTTTTAATGTTTAAATGCAAAATAATTAAAATATTTAAACACTTTATCATGAAAATACTTTCCTATTCAAAATGCTAATTCCATGCCTTATTTAGAAATTTACTAGTGTGTTAGAATATTTAAACGATCGATTTATATTTAAATTTATACTTTGTATTTACTTGAATAATATAGGTGATAKGTGTCCAATAAATATTATAGTATACAGGTTATGTTAGATATACGCATCGTACTGTATTAAAATTACGTACCGAAAATGAAACAAAAACACGATAGCCAGGAGAACAAAGATTTCATGGTCATCTACCGATGACGAAAGTATATATTTTAAATTTAATAAGATAACAATACTAACTAGGTAGATAATATTATATTAAAATTGATTGTACATTATTAATAATTGTTAACCGATTCATAAACGACTACTTACAATTCAACACTGAAATAGTTAAATCTTATACTATTAWCAATATGGTTAAACCAGTAGTGTTGTAGGTAAGTGTCTATGATCGACTGAGTAATGAATGGCCGATAGTTTATGATGGTATAGTGGGGGTTATACTTGAAGTTTCTCCCATCACATCCATTCGTTTTTCAAGTGTATAATAATATTGAAATGTATTTTTAAATAGAGTACAATAAATAATTTTAACCTAAAATAAAAATAATTTTTCGTTTATCTGTTCTTGCCAATTTATAATATATATGTACCATTTACATARGTTAGGTCTTAGGTATAGGTACCTATATCCTAAAACAGTGGTTCCCAAACTTTTTTTCTGGAAGTATCCTTTTTTGAACAACATTCAGTCACGATACCTTGCTATAAATTCATTGAGAAACAAAAATATTTAATTATAAGACTATTTAGACAATTTCTATAATTTTCTTGAACATAATTCTAAGTATACGTAGCCAACCTAAAATGTATGCAGTTTTATAATTACCTATTATAAATTTAAAACAATTATTTTTAAAAGATAAATAGTATTTTAAACATACATATTATAACATTTTAATTATTGAGTAATGTCATATACAATTATAAACTATCATAATCTGCTGCTAATGTCCCCAAAGTTTGAAATGTAAGATTGTATTATTGACACCTAGAGTAAARTGTTTTTAATAAATTGTAGATCATTTCTTATGAACCGTGTTCCAATGGAAAGTGCTATAGTTATATGTTTTTAGGGCACCGTGGTTTGGATTTTGGGCACCGCTATTCTAGACGATCGACGGCCGTGTAATTATAATATATACAYCATGAAACACTATATCCTAGCTAGAATCTATTACATAGATAAGGACATATTATATGCGTCATAAATTGTTAATATATTAATTGTATGATACGATTATAGCATATTCAGTGTCATCGTTAGGCATGTGTATAGGAAGTATGGCCACAGSCCACAGAACTTTGTGCTTTTGTAGTTGTATTGGGCCTGATGGGAGGAGCCTAGTTCTGGATCCTAAACTTTATACAGCAAAAAATATTGAGGTCATGTATGAAAAAAATTACAGAATTGTACCAATGCCTGTTTATTTAACATAATTATTCATACCATRCTAATTGATGCTTAAATTTTAACACGGTTTTGTTCTGGATTTTGCGTTAAGAAGATTGCCAATTATAGGTGCGTTGTCATAGAACCCGTAAATYGTCAACCTCCCCGCCCTAACATATCTCATTTTTTTACTTGATTTGTAGTATCCATTTGTATTTTHCTTAAAAAAATTTGTACTCCTCTCTTTTTTACGCAAAACCAAATTCGCCGTCCGGGTGCTGAAACGATGTCGTGCTGGCATACCTATAGCATCTTTATTGAATACCTACGCAGTGCTTGCAGGTGGTTTTAAAAATCTTTGTTTTTCGGTTTACCTAAATTTAATAACTCATTAATGGTAGTAATCATATTACTGTTGAATAGCATATTATTATCTGACAAAATCACTTTGTTGTATTTTACTGAATAAAATGTTTAATWATCAAGTTTTCAAACAAAATCACACTTTTTATTTAGCATCAACCGCTTATTAAACTCCATAGAGCTACTTTAACTAAAACTACTGACCAAATATTAACATTAGTTCAAGTTATTTTATTATTTTTTGTCTATGATGAGCTCGAGCAAAATAAAATAATGTGGTTTTCGGACCAACAAAATTAACAATAACCTCTTCAAGTGAATGGTCTTGACACCAGTAACTCATAATATTGTCATAATTGTCACCTCTAACCAATTTTGTATTTCTGCAGTAAGCATTAATATTTATTACTTATTACTTATTAGGTACCTATTATAAATCTTCAACTTTGTGAACCCGGAATTTTAAAGAAATAATGATTACTTTTCTTGAAATTCGTAGGTACTATTTAGATACAAAGGCCTCGTCAAGCATTATTATAATTTTTARTTTTACAGTTATTCTTGGAGCTCAACTATTTATTGTGAACTTAAAGATAATAGGTGGTAGTATGATGAACTGAAATGGTTTTGGGACCAACAAAATTAATAAYAAAGTCTTCAAATGTATAGAGAGATTATGTTATAAATATACCTATGTTATACACTTATAAAGAACAATGTTTCAATTTTACACTAATTTGAATAGACGTTTATTTGATGTACTGTTTTCAAAATACAAATAAGTTTTTAATTTATGGTTTTGGTTCATTTTTTGGTAGATATARGTTCCTTAGTATAATAATTAGTAAAAAATCTGCGATCAAATGATTTAGTTAACAAATAATTCTTCGATGATTCCTGAAAAATACAGGGAAAACCCGAATTGAGGCAATAGTTTGTTCTACCTATCTGCTATCATATAGGATATCAGATAGGTCCAAAATCGATCGGTTGACTTCTGGTGGTTCCGGGTGCCGTTGTTTCAGCACCGGACGGGAGATTTGRTTTTGAGTAAAGAGAAGAGGGGTATACATTTTTTTTAAGGAGAGTGCAAATGTATACAAATCGAGTACAAAAAAATGAGATATGTTTGAGGGGGTTTCGACGATTTACGGGAACCAGGACGACGCACCTGTCAATTGTCTACTAAATTTTCAGAGTTATGATTCGTTTTTTCTTCCTTGATCATAATTATGATGCTATATATAAACGCTTTTATCCACACAAGTTTCTAAGTAATTCTTTATTTCTCCATTAGTTTTATGAAGACATACGATTAATTAAACTCTCTTAAATGTAAATTTAATAGATTAGTAACACAGTTATTTGGGCTGTTTCGACCAAATATAAAATTTAAGTTTAAAACTATATGCAACAGTAAAAACCATTTTTATTTTCTGTAAAATTGGCAACAATGTATATAAACCAATTATTTGTTTTGCATGAGCCAAAAAATACTTGCATAAGTATAAGTATTGGTATAATTTAGTATAATACCAACTTGTATAAGTCTATCTTTAAAATGAGGTAGGTACCTATTAAATCGAGAAAAATTATTGAGATTTCTTTCTTTCAGACCTCTCTTAGAAAAACTCGCGGGAAACCCAAGTAATAAATATTATTATGCACCTACTATCTACACCCTACATATTATTAGAAATCAGTACCTAGTAATTCACACACAATTTTATAACATTAAACAACATAATAGAAATATAATAGCTACTGGATTAATTACGGATATCAAAAATATACGAGTACCTAATATTATAGTGAGGTATCTGTATAATAATAATGATAATAATATAATTACTTTATGCAATTTTGATTTATCTATTTATCGTTCTTATAATAGTRTGATTCTTTATTTATAAGTTATGCAAATTATATTTGCATAAATATTGTTTATCAATACCATCGTTGCGTAGTACTCGTGTCTTGTATGATTATAATTAATTGGTAATTTAACAGTCGACATATTATTATTGAACTCTACGTCATATTAGTGCCACTGCTACATTATTTGAAGAAAWAAATAACCAAATTTTCCTGTATGTAAATTAGGAAATCCTGAAGTATTTCCCAAGTAATTCTTGTATATAATCTGTTTATAAAAAYAGTATACTGCAGTCGTGAGAGGCGATATCAATATAATTATTACTAACGAAACGTATCTGATTAAATAAGGTGAAAGATTATATTTTTACTGTTCAGACGCAGTACTGGGCGCTGGGCCTTACTTGAAATTTATAATTTGATATATAGCATATACTCATATAATACATATAATATAAAAATACATTTTTTTGCCTTTAAGATGGAAAATAATTTATTACTAATGACCAAACATGAAGAATATTATATATATTATGTATTCTATATTATTATAAATCAATATTTAGTAAATGACATAAAATATGAACTCATAATTGAGTAAACTCAATATAATTGTATAATATATCATTATTTTTTGTTTGTGATACAATTATTTAGAATGTTTAAAAAATAAAAATATAATGAACGTAAAAAAACATTTATTAATACCAAGTTAAATTTTAAAATAATGATAGCAAGATAAATGTATTAATTAGTTTGACTGCACTATCTAACAGACTTAGAAAAGCTATCACTTGCATAAGTATAATTAGTATAAATTTCATGAATCCATGAAACGTGGCGACTAACATCTGTAAAAACTGCGATTGAATCATTTGTAGCAGCATCCTTTACACTCACGACTCCAGTTAAAAAATGTAAAGAGCTATGTTCAAAGGTAAGTCCAGCACCACTATCACCTTGATGAACGCCTTGTCCTAAAATTTAAGGTTTTAATTATTTATACTATAATATGTGTAGGAACAAAAAAAAACACAAACAACAATATTGTTGTTAACTAATACTTATGAGTATATTCTAWAAATAAAATAACTTAATGTGACTTCACACTGCTCCGTGAACCCTGATTTCCGTAAAATAAATTATCCATGTATTTTTTAAATTATGCTTTTTATGTTGAACGTGAATTTACGGTAAATGGTAACTGACTTCTTGTTATCACAATCACCTAGTATCTATAGATACTATAGTGTCTATATATAGACCGTGATCTATTATATCAGTTATCTAAATTTAAAAAGAATACCCATTATTATATTTTCATTACCAGTGACTAGAGAGCCTAGGCTCTCTACCAGTGACCACATAATTGTAAACATTTGACTTGAGTAGGTTTGGATTCTATACTTTCTGGTATCTGCAATATAAAGGTAGGTTTCCACTATACGCGTGTGCCGTGTACACGTAAAATGTTCAGTTATGTCTAACGACACGGTAACGCGGTTATTCACGTGGTAACCTTACATAACCAATCAATCACAGCAAAGGATTCACGCTTTCGTGTATATTGGAAACCCACGTGACGGCTTGACGTGATATATACCAGCAAATATTGTGGAATACCACTTAGTAGTTAGTAGCCACTAGATTCAGCCAATAACATAGCTGATTTTTTTTTTCCGAAAATCACGGTTCACGGAGCAATCTGAAATCATCTTTATTCCTCTTAAATAATAATAAAAAAAGACAAGATATCAATAAATTAAATACTTTTTAAAAACCCATATTATGATAAATTATGAAAGTAAAATTATCCTGTTGTTCTATTCACAATAGACACTGCATGTAATAGCATGAATAATCACTATACGGAATCAAAGCATTATTCAGCCCTTATGCATTATAAATATTTTTATATATTTAATGTAATTATATATTGTATCATAGTATTTATTTATTAAATTAATTTGATTTATTTTAGTGAAATATTTTATAATTTAATAAAAATAACGTTTTCAGAAATTACGTGATTCATAACGTCGGTAGATAACTATTTTACAAAAAAGTAAGCTATCTTAATATGAACATGACTTGTAGTTAGTTTTTAGTATTTTACTATCTTTATGTAATCATTATAAACATTTATTACTTACCACTTTTAGTACCGGCACAGAATTTATCAACAGAAACGAAGTTTTGAAATCCGTTTTGGTACATATTMCGACAAGTCTGATGGTCGATATACGGTATATTAGCTTCTAATAAAACAGAACTTTCTACCATTTTTTCTGTTTTCCCCCAACCGACGACCTAAAATAATAAAAATATAAAATTAACAAGTTTTTGTGATGAAATCATAAAAAATTAATCACTAAATCATAGGCATAATAGCTACATACTTTTCAGTTTGGTTAGGTTATCAAGTAAAAACTCTACACGATATTCTAATAAAATTACCAAATAATATCAATCACAAAATATTAGCAGTATTATTTTGAAGTCCCTTATAAAATATATACAAAGTGACTTTCACCATGCATTGCCCACTTATAATTTGCTATACTTATGTAGCAAATTTTAGAACTATTGGCACAGTAAACTTGTGTGTGGATCTTTTACACACTCACAAACATTGCCTATTATTAATATAAATAACTAAGAAGATAGCAGTAATAATAATAACTCTTAATAAAGGTTTTACTATAAGAACGGTGATCATCATTTGAAAAAAAAATAAATTTTGTATTGCCAAAAAAAAATACTCTAAAAAAATATGGACCTTAAGTATAGGTACCATCAAAGACACAAATTTAAAAAATAGGAATATTAATAAATAAATTATTTTAGGAAAAGTTAATCTCTTTGTTTATGTTATGTAATGATCACGATGACTGAGAATAATTTGCATAAACCTACCTACTACTAATGTATCGTAATTATTAAATATGGAATAAAAAATAAAAATACTAAATAAATTTACTTTTCCAATAGATCCGTTTAAAATTGAATATTTTTTAGACCAGTCCACACAAACAGGCAAAACAACATTGCTAATTTTAACTTTGGTTGATAGCACAATAATGGCTAGATCTTCAGCATGATATCCGGAAGAACCATAATAACCTTCTCTTAAGTAAATTAATCCCACCTAAATAATTATTAACAACAAATTTAATGAATCAAACCTAGTATAAGTGTTTTTATTTTTTTTTTTTTACTGCATATTACTTACATCGATAATCTGGGTAAATTCATTGTCCGTAATTGTAATGTCACTACTATACTTTCCAACGCCAACTTTATACGTACCATCGTTTAATAATATTCTATTAGCCAACCTTTCTTGCCAAAAACAATGAGCAGCTGAAATAAATTGTTAGGGGGTTTTAACTCGGTTACTACACACTACACAGAGTTATTTTACCAGATACAACTAAATTTGTCGCAATCAGTGATCCTCCACATATCAAGCTAAAATTATTTTTGTTCGACTTTCGGTATATTCCAACATTCCAAGGCGCTGATCCATATTTAGCTTCAACGCCATCTAGAATCAATACTTGGTTTGGAGTATATTGTCGACCACAATCTAAAACCATGTTTGAATTCATTAATTGTAATGTCTTAAAAGTTAAAATCCAAAAAATGACAAATGCTTTCAATAGTTTTTTTTTTTATTATTATTATTAGATAGAGGCAATGAACTTAAGAATATCTAGAGTAAATTAGTAGCGTTAATAGGACATTTCAGATTGTTTTCTAAGCACGCTCAACATGTTATGAATGTATTTACAATACAATTATTTTCATACTTAAAAAGGTAGGCATTATAATAGACGTGATAAATTTGAATACAGTAAATCATTGCATGCAAAATACAATATTGAGCGTAGACATGTTGTTATCTTAAATTATTTAACGTATTTTATAATATTATTATGATTATAAAGTAATTATACAATACAGTAGGTTGAATTAATTAATGTTACCCAAAATATTGCGTTTGAAAATATCATTGTATGTATAAAACATAATAATATACTTTCAATGTTTCTAGTCCCCACAAATATATTTTTTAAATTACAGCTTATTAATGACTAAACTTTTATTTCTTTCGATTAAGTATCTCATTTCATTTAAATTTAAACTAAAAATATCTATTGAAAAATCGTATATGTTTTTTAGATTTTTTGGTTAAAACATGATATAATTATGCGGAACCTTGTTTTAAACGTTCAATCCTTAACTATAAAATTTGAACATTTCTTAAGTGGACAAAATAATTTGTGATTTTTGTGATTTTAATAAATTTATCATAATTAGAATTTCAAACGCTTATAAAAAAATCGTGACTATGTCTCTTTAACATTTTTTTAAATCATAATTTATTAAATTAAACTATTATAACAATTTTTGAGGAATCTTGAATTAAACTTTCAAGATTTTGATCCTTCTTATCTTTAAAACCCATTTATTTTATCGATATCAATAGAAAAAAATTAAAATGTTTATAAATATTTCAAAAAGAGTCAAAATATTATTAAAATCTATTATGTAAAATGAATTAAAATGATACCACAAAATTTCTATGCAAATTTTAAATTTCTACGGTTATCAGTTTTTAAATAACACCAAAATAGTTTAGTTTAATTTAATGACAAGGAACTTTTTTTGCATAAAAATTCTCGTTTTTTCGTCCTCTAAATACCAACTAGATTGACTTTCCCATCATAAAACATACTGAAGTTGAAAATTGAAGCTATATTTAAAGTACTTATAGTTTACACAGACATAAAAAATAATAACATCATTATCAAATCATACATTCATCCACTCAGATCTAAATTAAAAAATGTATCGCTCTGCTTAAAACCTCAAAAATAAAGACGATAAATCAACTTAGGATAAACGCATTTTCAACTTAAATGTTATAATTAGGTAATGAGGCAGCATTCATTAAATTAAAATTAATTAGAATAATACTTAAAACAAATATAGTTACATGGAATACACGTATAAAGTCTGTCACTCCATTTTCCGTCTTGTTGACAACGTAATTTGATTGGAGTTTCTATTTGTCCATTTGGTACAGTGTGTGTGACTTTACATTTTGGTGTTAATACAGTGCCCGGTATTGATGGGTTTGAACAATCATCTTTTTTACCATTAAAAGTACATTCRATATCTAAACTATCCGAAAACACTGATGGACATCTTTCTTAAAACATAAATAAATAAAATTTAGTAATTTTCTTGAAACTTAAATCAACTATTAAGGACCCGTTTTACAATCTTAGTTTAAACCTCGGTTATGCTTGAACCACTGATTTTACCGGCCGAATTCCGTGGTTTAACCGGTGTTCAACTATTGTAATACGGGCCCATACTAACCTTAATAATTTTATAATATTGAAAAATTAAAATAAATCAAATATCAAGGAATACCTATTATCGTACTTATACTAACTGATACTTACTCAAACATAATTTATCAACCTTTGGTTTCCATTTTCCGTTTCCCGAACAAATTATAATTCTGTTAGAGCTAGTTTTATAATATCCTTCTTCGCAGCTCTCTTCAACTGCTATATTCGGATCAACAAATGACCCAGGTGACAAAGAAGGATTTTGTTCTGATTCAGTTTGGAATAAAGAATACACAGTACCCTCGATATATGGAACCATGCATGACCTTTAAAGAATTAAAACGTAACAATAACTAAAATATAAGTGATTAGGATTAAAGATATATATTATTTATTTTTATGGAAATAGTATATTCCTACGCTTTTTCTTTTACTTAGCTATAGCCTATAGGTCACCATTTTTTTTAAAATTATTATTGTTATCTATATTTGCAAATTTTTTCCCTAGATTATTTTATCCTGTAGAATTAATATAGGTACGAAATTCTGATGAAATCTTTATAGCCGTTTTCGAGAAAAGTTGTTTAAACACATACGCAATTATTTGTGGGTTAAAAAGATTTCACACAACCATTTTTGCAGAAAAATACACGCATTATAAACGTTCTACGTACATATAAACTAACTGATTTGAGTTTTAAAATCGAATTAATAGAATTATTTCACTAATCAATTATTACAGATACGAATCACGAAATGTTGTTGAAACAAAAAACATATTTTTTTAAAAATATTTTAACATTAACAAACACTTAGGTAATTTAAAATAAAATGAACCCGAGCTATAATGTTTTTTACCATTACAGTAGGTATTTATATTTTATTATTATCATAATTATATACATAATATTATTACGCATATTCTATGATAATAAATACATAGATCCCAGACGTGTGTGTCGTCTTAAATTCGTCCTGTATTAAACAGAGTAACCTTACAATATAGGTATAACTTTTGTGATTAATCAACATATTTTATATAACAATAATTAGTCGGACTGTTAGATATACGTATTCCAAACTAATCTAGTTGCATTGCTTGCTCTGTGTATTGCTTCCAGTAATTAKTAATCCAAATCCAATATCTTATCTAACATCTCTGCAAACAATCTCTTATTATAGTCACCAACCAATAACCATAATATACGACGAAACAATAATGGTGCTCTTTAACATTTATAATTAATAAAATCCATGCCAAGCGTCTTAAACATTTATATCAATGATATTTGTTTAGTCTACCTTAAATGATGTGTATTAACTATTAATATCTTTAAAAAAAAAAATTTAACTTATTACAAATACATAAACAAACGTTACTTAATATTATTTGTCTGGGTTGTTGGTCTCTGCGTTGTTGGTCTGCTAGTCTGATACTGCGGTGCTGAGTTAGTGGTTGGTCTCTGCGTAATGTGTGAAGTTGGATTGACTGATGTCAAAGGTTTGCGGTTTCCGTTGGAACTACAGCCTGCTTCATCAGAACCGTCAGCACAATGCTGTGAACCATCGCATTTTCTTTGTTTACTTATACAGGCACCATAGTTGCACTTAAACGTACTCATTGGACACCTTTAAATAATATTAATGTAAAGCTATTTACAGACATATAACATGTAAACATTGTATACGTCTTATTTATTTTTAAATCCCAATTAATACGTACACCATTGATTTACACAATTCCGATGTTTCGTCAGATCCATCATTGCAATCTGGAGTTCCATCACAAATAGTTGTTACATCGATGCATTGACCAGTTGAACTGCAGCGGTACTCTTCTCGAGCTCTAAATAATTAATGCACAATTTTAAACTTAATTAATACTTATAGTTACATTATAATATAATATTTGTAAACACTATAATCAGGAAATTTGCCACCCTGATACAAGAAAAAACGCATAGGTAATACGGAATAAAAATTGAATATAATTTAAAAACTTAAATTTTAAAGAAAAGTTTCCAGTGATTTATATATATATAAGTTAAGCCCAGTTGTCAAGGTGGAGGGATACTGAGAAATCTTATACTACTACTTATTTTATCGAAAATAATATACATCCTCCTTATAAATTATAATTATTTAGAAACATTATCAATTTATATTTGTGTTTTTCTTCACTTTTAATTTTTAAGATTGTTCTTTAAATTAGTTTAACAACATTACCATGGACATTTATATTTATTAATATTATAAATATTATTACTTTTTTGTTAAGAAAATAGTACTTTTTGTTCTCTGGTCTATAAATTGGGACTACTAGACGTAATAAATCTGAAAATAATTTCTAACAATAAATTGTAAGGTAAAATATATAATCTTTTCGGTATAGAACTCGAAGTTACAACCTTTTTGATCAATTTTATAAAAGTTTTTRTATTTTTTGTTGTTATTTACTTTCTGTATAATGCATAGAGTAGAATACATATAAGTTGTATTTACATAAATACTTTCAGCATAATATATCTGTGTATAATTATACATAAATTTTTTTATGTTTTAAGTTCAAAATATATTAAACAGTACCTAGATACTTAGGCAGGTAAAAAACGCCGAATAAAAAACTAAATAAAAAATACACATCATTGTAAAATCAATACATTCATCGCTCCGCTCAGAATCTAAAATTAAAATATAAACTATGTTATATTCTATAACAATTATAGAATTTATAGTTTGAAATCAATTACTTACATGCATTTAACTTTACTGGTTACTTGAGTTTGTTGTGGTTTTGRAGAGCTTGAAGGAATACTTAGGCCTTGTTTTTTACATTCAGGTAATTGTTCATCCGACCCATCGACACAGTCGTTTTTACCATTGCATTTTGCATTTTTACTTATACATGCACCATAATTACAACGAAACGCAGATCTCGGACATCTATTATATACAAATAAATTCTAAATATAAAATAAGAGCATAATATACCTACTAAGAATTATTATTTATTAATGCCTTAAAAMTGTCCATACGTTTTAAGCAATGGAGCACATAAACTTTGGGTCTCATCTGACTTATCTGAACAATCGKCGATTCCATCACAAATTGATGACTGATCAATGCACTCATTGTTTGCACATCTGAACAAGTTCCTATTAACACAACTCGCAATTTTTTAAAACAAACATCATTTTTACAAGCATTCAATTTAATTTAAAAATGTTAATACCTTAACGTTGTAATTGAATAATCACTAGGCTTTTAAAAAGAAAGTAGAAAGTACGTTTATACGTTTTAAATTTTTAGCCGTATAGGTAAAATAAGTTGTTACATGATCAATTATTTTAGAAATAAATAGTCCCTAAAATTCCATATTTTCAGAGTAGCTTTAATGTATAGTTAATAAAATAAATATTAGGTATATAAATATTCAAAGATTAACGAAGGAACAAATAACCATTATTATTTTTTTAGTAACCCACTTTTACGTGTACTTAATAATTAATATGTAAATATCATACGTTCAGGGGCGAACTTACCTGGGGTGCAAAATTAATTAGGGGCCCGTAATTTTTTTCAAATCTACGTAAAACAAGAAAGAGTTTAGAAAAATAAATATAAACAAAATTCAGAATAAAATGTTATTTTATCATAAAATTAGGAATTACATGTTATTTTTATTTTAAATAACAGTTATTTTATCTAGATTTATATATTTTAATTATTATGTGGACACAAGTGATACTGATACCTAGCAAATATTACATATATGTATAATAACAACAGTATTGTCGATTTCTAATACAATTTATCATTTTATACGTACTTCAGGTCCACCCCCATTTTTCGGCGGTCCTAGATTTAACCCATTGACGTACCCAGGATTATAGTACTATGGGTTTAACTCACATACGAGAGGCCACTGTGTGAAAACTTCAACCAACTAATAACTATATTATGTTACAAAGTAGCTCGATGCGCTCGCGATTAGCCTATTAATAATTTATATCACATTTATTTTTGATATTAACATTCAATATAACTATTTATATGATATACCTAGGTAAGTCACAATTAGTTGTTAAGTAAATTTAAAATTTTACAAACACAAAGTATTAATTTATTATTATTTTTATTCAATTTAGGTATACCTAAAGGTTAGGTATGTATACATTATTTAAGTAAATGAGTTTTAGTAAGATTTCGTACTCACTATTTATACTCCAACACTCAGTTTCCATATCTATATTACTTTAGTCTGTGACAGTACTTTCAGATGGCATCATTTGGGATAGGTGGCATTTAATTCTAAAAGGAGCCCGTTGGATCGATGCCCGGTTGTTATTGCTTGCATTATTATATTTTATATCGAAAAAACATGCTATTTTTATAATATTTTGAGGAATATTATATTGTGTACCAAGAAATTATTGTCACAATGATAAATATTAAATTGTAAATTACTAATTAATAGCTAGTTGGAATATATTTATAATTACTATTTAGATGCATACGTGGATTTTCATGAAATTTGGTACTTACGATGTGTATGTTTTATGAAGGTAAAATAATTAGGAACATAATAATGAATATGTGCTTGTGAGCGTGGCTTGCCGTTTCCTTTAAGTTACCCATTTGTACTGGTCAAAACATTGGCTTCTCAATTAAAAACTGAAATGACGCCATTGATTTATATACGTCATAATATACTTCTAAGTTTATAACTATATATTTATAGAAATATTCTTAATATATTTTATAAATTATTATAAGGTACCTATTTAATATTACATTATTATTGATTATTGTACGTCATATTATTTTCAAATAAAAAAATTGTATGTAGTTTATCATTTTGAGGAACCACATTTTACTGAGGAAAAAACTGTGGGTCAACATTGAGAATCCCCAACTGGGTCCGCCCCTGATTCAACGCCCTCTCCTGGAAAAAAAGTATGTGCTTGTAGAGTTATTATTATARAGTATACTGTTGAGAATCCCACTCGAGCTTATATTTATCCCTCCTCCGAAATTAAATTATATTTACGCCACTAAAGAGATGATTATTAGTAGGTAAGTATTTTGTTAAGACAGAATATAGTTACCAACACTGAACATGATACGGTTTGTCGTTTTTCAATTAATGGATTACACAATACGCCCGTTCCTAAGACAAATAACTTGTATTATGATAATGACATAGGTATACATTTTACATATAATCTTTTTCATTTAGGCTAATAAAGCTCTTCTATATAGATGTAAAATCTAGTAATTATAACAGCTATTAGAAATTATTAGAGTATAATTCGCAAGTGTATGGTYGAGGTTTGTATACTGAAAAAATAGTTAACCTATTTTGACAAAAAACCATTGTAAATATTTCAAATTGTAGCAAAACACAGGCGATAGATGAATAGATTATAATAGAAAGTTGGATATAAATGATACAAGTATTATCTAAAAGATAACGGGCTATTTACACCAAATCGATGTATAATATGGAAATCCACAGTTTTTGATCAATGGACACCAAATTTTGCACACATATTATTTGAGATCCCAAACGGATCGTAATAAGAATATTAGATTAGAACCTTCAGGTAACAACTATCATATATTTAAAAAAAGTAAAGTGTGCATTTAGGATCAACAAATATTCTACTGAAGGTCATAGATAATAGATGATTGAATTAAAATTACTTTTAGGATGGCTTACCTTTAATATTAATAATATTATGATTGTAATCACATATTAGTGTATTTCTGCTTGAAATCCGTTCAAGTAAGCAAAGAAATGTTATTTACTATGTACCTATTATTACTTATTAGTTATTACTATCCACCAAGGTGGGTTGTCTACCTTAGTATTCATATTTAATTTTTCTCCGGGCAACGCCGGATGATACAGTTATAAAGTTCAATAATTGTTAACTTTTTAGCCTAATATCCATTGATATTTCTATAGATATAGTCAACTCGCAGTATAACRGATTTCTTTGTAACGAAAATATCAGTATAACGAATAAAACTGTTTTTCCTCGTGATATAACGAAAAATTAAATRTATTTTTGTCCCCTCTATATTATAACAAAGTTTTTAATGCCAAAGTTCTTGCAATGTACAGAATTTTACCATTTTTTTGAGGCTGATATTACAAATTTTACTATTTATTTCGGCTATTATTTCATTATAGGTACGATAAGATAATATATAATATTATGTCGTATTGTCTCCGGTTATAACTTATAAGTTACACGTCTGTTAAATATAGATAATCATCACACAATTATTTGCATACGAAAACAAAGTAAAAAATTYATCATTTTCGTTGATAATTTCATTACCTAGTCCTCATAAAACCCCCCTACTATYCTAAAAGTGCGAATTGATTTCAATTCAGCAAACACAACCTCAAAACTCCAACCTCTAGACCAAGAGATAATTAATAACTTCAAAGTCCTGTGTGGAAAAATAACTGTTTCTGAATTTTTGGCCTGCTTGGATAATCGAGAACAGTGTGTTTTATATAGCCTTTTTAATTTGGACAACACTTTTGACCACGTAAGCGCAAATGGCTACACACTAAAAAAAAATCACCGATTTAAAAATAATTAAATGTGTATGTGTACGTAATAAACAAAAAATAGATTTTATTAAATACTAACTCATGTGTGTATGTATGTATTTAATAAAATTATAATGATATCTAATAATATGTACCTATGCAATTATGATAATCTAAAAATTAAAACTTTGAATTTTCTCTTAAATCTCATTGTATCGAATTTTGCCGATTTATGCTTTTGATATAACAAATTTCGATATAATGAACTTTCAATAAACTGAACTTTTTACTAAGTTTTTTAAATTCCTTATAGTTGTTGTAGTTTTCTTTTTATAGTGTTGTTATTATATTATCAGAATATTAATAGATAAATAATGACGTACCTGTCGTACCCAATAAGAAACATAAATATAATGTTAACCAGGAACTCGCYGGCTTCATAGTTCTATTCGATGATGACGAAATCACTACTGTGAAATATAATGTATTATTATATTTACAATTTTATAAYTATGTGACAATAAAAAATGACGAAAAATAGCAATATTATCACTATATTTATTGACAGCGATTAATGAAACAAAATAAAATCTATACAGAAGTATAGTACTATGTTTCTAATACATAGAAATATTTTATAATACGTACTTTAAACATTGGTAAAAAAAAATTTAAAAAAATACGAACCAACAAACAAACGTATAAGACATAAAGAAAACTGGACTCAGAAAACRGAGATTTGTGTCTGTCTACCTGCTAGTTAAAATGATATGGCTATTTTTTCACAAAACGTATAATTATAAATCGGTTCACTGATAACAAATCGTAATTATATTAATAATTATTTTAATAATGTAATAAAAATAATAATTAGTAATCGAAGCGTAAAATCGCAACGAACGTAAAACATTTGGTCTTGCGTCTAGTCTGCTTGGTGTACGATAATATACTGCAGCGTGTTTGTCTTGGATAGGGTCACATCGAAGCCTGTAGGTACATAATATTCAATGTATGCTATTTAACCGACYGGACTCCGAAGGACATTAAAGTATTATGTAGGTACTTGTACATCATAGGAGGCACCCACTACTCCCATATCATATCATTTATTTTTATTATAAGTTATACGTATGTATTGTGCATATCATGTATGGTTAAAAAAGTTTTAACATAACCTATCTGTGTACACATACAAATATGTAGGTACCTATAATTTTACGTATTCCTCCGTTACTGGTTTTTGTTTTTATGCACAATACACAAATAAAAAACTGGTTATATCGGTTTATTTCGCGTTATTCGTATTCGTATGTATCTATTTATTTTTGTATTTTACTTCATACGATATATAGGTAGTTGCAACGTATTTTTGTAAATTGAATTCACCGATTCGGCGAGTAACTCCAAATCTTTGAA